AGAAGACAACCTTAGAAGATGGAAAGATCTCCCATGCTTCTGGATAGGCAAAATTAATATTGTCAAAATGACCATACTACCCAAAGCACTATAGAGATTCAGTATAATTCCAATTAAAATCCCAATGTCATTCCTTATAGATATAGAAAAAGCATTCATGAAATTCATCTAGAAAAACAAGAGACCCAGCACAGCCAAAGCAATCCTTAGCAAGAAGAGTGAAGCAGGAAGCATCACAACACCAGACGTTAAACTCTACTACAAAGCTATAGTAACAAAAACAGCATGGTATTGGTAGACCAATGGTACAGAATAGAAGACACAGAGACAAATCCACATAAATACAGACAAACCCACTAAATACAGTTATCTCATACTAGACAAAGTTGCCAAAAAAAAAACATTGTAGAAAAGATAGCCTCTTTAACAAATGGTGCTGGGAGGACTGGAAATCCATATGCAGCAAAATGAAACTAAATCCTTATCTCTCACATGCACAAAAATCAACTCAAAGTGGATCAAAATCTAGGAATTATACCAGAGACTTTACACTTAATAGAAAAAAAAGTAGGCCCAAAGATTCATCATGTGGGATTAGGCCCCGACTTCCTTAACAAGACTCCTAAAGTGCAAGAAATAAAATCAAGAATCAATAAATGATATGGATTCAAACTAAAAACCTTCTTCTCAGCAAAAGAAACAATGAGGTGAATAGAGAGCCTACATTTTGGGAGCAAACTTTTGCCACACACACGTTAGATAGAGCACTAATCTCCAGGTTTATAAAGAACTTAACACCAAAAAACAACAACAACAACAACAAAAAAAAAACAACCTAATCAATAAATGGACTAAGGAGCTGAAAAGACTCTTCTCAGAAGAAGATATACAATTGATCAACAAATACATGAAAAAAAATCTCTATTCGAGAAATGCAAATCAAAACTAAGATTTCATCTCACTCCAGTCAGAATGGCAGTTATCAAGAATATAAATAACACTAAGTGTTGGCAAGAATGTGGGAGGAAAGCCACACTCATACGTTGCTGGTGGGACTACAAATTGGTGCAACCAATCTGGAAAGCAGTATGGAGATTCCTTAGAAAACTTGGAATGGATCCACCATTTGACCCAAAGGACTTAGAAACAGCATATTACAGTAACATAGCCACATCAATGTTCATAGCAGCACAATTCACCATAGCCCAACTGTGGAACCAACCTAGATGCCCCTCATTAGATGAACGGATAAAGAAACTGTGGTACATATTAACAATGGAGTATTACTCAGCAACAAAAGAGAATAAAATTATGACATTTGCAGGTAAATGGATAGAGTTAGAGAATATCATGCTAAGCAAAGTAAGCCAATCCCCCCCCAAAACGAAGGCTGAATGTTTTGTTTTGTTTTTTTTTCTGGTAAGTGGATACTAATCCATAATGGGGATGGGGGGGGATGGGATGAGTTGAGGAAGTTTGGATGGGGCAAAAGGGAGGGGGGAGGGGGCATGATGGTAGGAAAGATGGTGAAATGAGATGGACATCATTACTCTAGTACAAGTATGATTGCATGAATGGTGTGACCCTACTTTGGGTACAAGCAGAGAAGTAAAAAACTGTGCTCCATTTGTGTGTAATGAATCAAAGAGCATTATGCTGTCATGTATAACTGATTAGAACAAATAGATAAATTAAAATATTTTTAAAAAGAAGATTGGCAGTGGCTTTAGCCAGGAAGGAAATGTAAAAGGGCTGCTCATCTCTAGCTTGGTTGGTTAGGGTCTTCATGGCAAACTGCAGAATCCAACTCTGGCTCTCTTGCACATGCAGGGACTCTAGTGGAATGCCATGGGAATCAGGGGACCAGGCTGAAAATGGTCAAGGAGCATGGGAAAGCAGGCCAGTAGGAGTCCTACACTGTGGTATAGTCCACAAATCATCAGAGATGAGGCCGTGAACACGATCCTCCAGCCATCCCCTTACTTTCCTAACACTCCCTAAAGATTTCAAGTCTGGGAAGAGCCCCCATCCTTGACTACATCATGGTAGAGAGGCAAGATCTAGTTACTTGGGCTTCTGTAGAAAGATTTCCACACCACAGGAGATTCTCCTAAAGGGAAGGTTAGTTTGTATGTTGGGCAGTGCCTTCGAGAGCATATGTACCCACTTTCAAGGAAAAGCTTATCTAAAATAGGTAAAATTAAAAATAAAAAAAATAAAACAGGGGATTGAACATATTCTCTC